GCTTGGAGCAACCTGCTCTAGCGGAAGGTGTCCCTGCCCATGGAACTGGATGAGCTTTAAGGTCCCTTCCTACCCAAACCATTCCATGATTCTATGATTCATACAGCTGCTGAGGGCCACACCATGGTCCCGGGCTGAGCTTTTGGATGCAGAGGACCATATTGTAGCTCTGGCCTGTGCACTCAGCTCTTCTCCTTTCGGCATTCAGCATGCAGCCCAGATGGAGCAGAAGCAGAACGATACGGAGAACAAGAAGGTGCACGGGGACGTGGTGAAATACGGCAGCGTCATACAGGTACGGGCGCTCACCCTCCCTCCTCTGTGCTTGGGTGATGAGTCTGGGGGGAAATGTGTGGATCCAGCACGTGCAAGTGGGCTCAGGAAAGGGATTTTGGGTTCACCCCTGGGTACGACCCGCATGGGGACCTCTGGGACCGTCCTGCTCACGGCTCACCCCAGCACGTGCTCCTCCAGCTCCTCCACATGAAGAGCAACAAGTACCTGACGGTGAACAAGCGGCTGCCAGCCCTGCTCGAGAAGAACGCCATGCGGGTGACGCTGGATGCTACTGGCAACGAGGGATCATGGCTCTTCATCCAGCCCTTCTGGAAGCTGAGGAGCAACGGAGATAACGTGAGTGTGGGGCTCATAACTCCTCAATGAAGCTCAATGAAGACGTGCAGAAAGCACCATGTGTGCTGCCAGCCAGGGCTCTCCTCCCCGCCGGGCGCCTGGTCTCATCCTCGATCCTTCCTTTCCCATTTTCCTCCCCAGGTAGTTGTGGGAGACAAAGTCATCCTGAACCCTGTCAACGCCGGGCAGCCGCTGCACGCCAGCAACTACGAGCTTGCTGACAACGCTGGCTGCAAGGAGGTACAGGGAGGCTGTGCTGGTGCTGCGGGGTTGGGCTTTTGTGGCTTGCCTTGTTTTCTTTCCCTTTTTATTCCTTTCTTCCCCTGTCCCAAGGATCATGACCGTGTTCTCTTGCTCCTCAGGTGAACTCGGTCAATTGTAACACCAGCTGGAAAATCAACCTTTTCATGCAGTTCTGTGACCACATGGAGGAAGTGCTGAAAGGGGTAAGGAAGGAGGTTCAGCTCTGCAAGAACAGGGCGTGGGAACAGCCGCTGGGCTGTGTGACAGGGGCACAGGAAGGAGATCCTGCCTTGGGTTCTCCCAGAAATTAGGGTCCTCATTACCTGGAGAACTGAACAGCAAGCTAGCACTGGCTGTTCTAGTATCTCCTGGCAGCAGGTACCCAGGGGGGCATGAAATTACTCTCTGCCTTATTGTATTGAGGTGGCTCTGGAGGACAATGCGAGGCACACACAGTGCCAGCAGCGGCTTCTGGCTGTGAGGACAATTTTCGGCTGTTGAGCCGTGCATCAGGGCTGGCTGCTGCCTGGGAAAGGAACTTTCCCCGTGGAGCTATTGTTCAGGGCTGAGGTCCTCCAGGAAGCAGCTGGATGGATATTGATTGTTACGATCTTACAGACCCCCGTCCCCAGGCGCCACACTTATCCCCAGCTTCCCGCATCCCCTGCATCCTCCTTCCTGGGGCGTTAATGCCTTAAACACATTCATGAGCGGAGCCTCTGCCCACTCCCAGGGTGTAAAGTGGGGGGTTTGATGCTCAGGCTCCTGCTCCTGAGTTCCTGCCATGCCATGGCTGGGAGCTGGCCTCTGTTCTGGACCATGTATAGGAGGGATCCCATCCGCTTTGCAGGGTTGGGGGTTGCAGGAGGAGATACTTTGGCTTGTAGGAGGGCCATATCGTGGGGTCTCACCACTGTGTCCTGGTCCAGGGGGATGTGGTGAGGCTCTTCCACGCCGAGCAGGAGAAGTTTCTCACCTGTGACGAGTACAAAGGCAAGCTGCACGTCTTCCTCCGCACCACCCTCAGGCAGTCGGCCACCTCGGCCACCAGCTCCAACGCCCTGTGGGAGGTGGAGGTGAGCAGGGAGGGGATGGAGCATGTGTCTGTGGGCTTTTGGGGTGCCTCCATGGGCTGTGGCGCTTCCACGGGGCAGGGTTGCTAGAAGCAACGGCTGTTTCTATACCAGGCTCAAGCTCTGTGAGATTATGGGAGCTGCAGCTGATGGATGGGTGCTGGTGTCTGTCTGAGCTCCACACCCCAAATATATTTTCTCGCTGCTACCTTTGCAATAGGACAGGGCTCTGATCATTGCGGTGTTTGCCCGGGGTCAGTGGAGGCAGCACCAGCATCCCAGCTCCTCGCGGCCCCGGCTGAGCTCTCCTGTGCTTCTCCCAGGTTGTCCACCACGACCCGTGCCGAGGAGGAGCCGGGCACTGGAATGGCTTGTACCGCTTCAAGCACCTCGCCACGGGCAACTACCTGGCAGCAGAGGTAAGGGGGGGAGTAGAGGGGTGCAGAAACCTGCCCTCGGGAGGCTGGCACATCCCTGGCAGAGGCAGTGCCCTCCCAGGGCTGATTCTGGTCCCGCTCCAGTTGGCTTCGAGGGGACACTGGCACCAGGGCTGGGAGCATCATCGGCATGGACCTGTTTGCAGGACTAGGCTTCCCACTGAACCCCCACCCCATGGTGCAGGGGTTTGCTTGCCAAAACTGCTGTTTCCGGCTCCCTCCTCTTCTGGTCCAGGGACAGAAGGGGTGGACAGGACTTTCCTCTGTTTGCTTGCTCTAATATCACCTCCTGGTGCAATGGAAGCAGGGGGTACTCATCCTACTGTCCTCACCTAGGGAAAGTGTGGGCAAAATCCGGCCTGGAAACACCATCTGCCTTTTTTTTTTACTCCTATTTAAGTGAAGCTCAAGACCTCCTGATAGAGGTGCAAAGAAGTTTCTGCACTTAGATAATGTTGTTGGTTTGACACTAATGAGCTGCCACGACCAAGGGCTACCCCTGCTGCCAGGGGAGCAGGGACATACCAAGGGGTATCTCAGTGCTTCATGTGCAAGAGGTGCTCCCGAGCTGGAGAAGACAACAAAAAGCAGCCCCAGGGCCCCTTCTACCACTGCAGGGTGGAAAACAGCAAATACTGGGGCTCCTAAATAGCTGCTTTAAACTAAAAGACACTGAGGTGACATCTGCAGAGGAAAGAAGATCGCAGATTGGTCCTCATGCTGGCTTGGTGCTGCCCAGCTTGTGTTGGTCACTGAGACCTCAGGAGGGATTTACAGCAAGACCTTGTTGCAGTGCAGAGTCCGGGTCTGCCTGTCCCACTCCTTGGGGATGGCAGTGCTGTGCATTGGGAATGGGTCCCAGCCTCCAGCCCCATCTGGGCAGGTTTCCTCTGTTGAGGGAGGCAGGAACAGAGATAACACCCCGTGCTCAGGGTGGAGGGACCGAGTGGGAGGACTGATAGCTCTCTTTCATCTCCCTCTTTAACTTTTCAGGAAAACCCAAGTTATAAAGGAGACGTGGCTGAGCCCAAAGCAGCGCCCACGGTGAGCTGTGTGCAGCCTCGCTAGCAGAAACGCTGCTGCCGCTGCCTGAAATCACGCCGTCTCTTAGACTCTGCCTGAAAGCAGGGAAATGCCCCAAAACCGAGCCTGCTGCGGGGCCAGTGCCTGCGCTGTGCCACCGGCTCCTGTGTGGTGCTGAGGCTGCAGCCGGAGCCTGTCCCGCTGCCCAGCCGAGCATCCCATGCCCCAGGCTAGCATCCCCGTGTCCCGCTTGTGAGAGGACCCTGCTGAAATCCATTGGAGAGGTCCCAGCACATGCTGGATCCCCAGCCCATAGGGAATTGCTGGTAGAAGAGAGATTTGGACTTTCAGGGTTTGTTTTCTCTTTGCTGATGGAGAGGTTTGGACAAGGGATGGCCTCGTAGCTCAGGTGCATCCTGCCACGCTTCTGCTCTCGCAGCCCCTCCACGCTGCGAGGCTCGGCCCAGTGTCCAAGCCAGCGCTTCTGCTCTGAGCGTGCGTCCTGTGCTCTGTGTGTCCTGTGCTGTGTGTGCACCGGGGCCGTGCTCACACCACACTCAGAGCCACTTTCCCGGTGCAGGGGGGCAGTGGCCGGGCCAGCCGCAGGAACACGGGTGAGAAGATCAAATACCGTCTGGTGGCCGTGCCCCACGGCAACGACATCGCCTCCCTCTTCGAGCTGGACCCTACCACGCTGCAGAAGACTGACTCCTTTGTCCCACGGTATGTAGCGCCCGCTGTCCCAGAGGGACTGAGTTAAGGAAAGGAGGATGAATTGCCTGCTGAAAGATACTGGCAAGTCTGTTCTTTCGGGGTCTTTGCTGGGTGCTGGTGTCTGTGTGGGGATCGCTCACCAGGACACTGTGCCCTTCACAGAAACTCCTATGTGAGGCTGCGCCACCTCTGCACCAACACCTGGATCCAGAGCACCAACGTGCCCATTGACATCGATGAGGAGAGGCCCATTCGCCTCATGGTATGGCCCTGCTCCCTCCCCCAGGGCGAGGATTTATCCCCTGTTCCCCAATAGCTCTTGGCATGCTCCTTCCCACCCAGGCTTTACCCAGGGACTAAAATACCCTCATGATCCAAGGGGGTGGCAGGACACCAGCCTAGCATCCGCCCCAGTGACCCAGAGCCCAGCCAGTCTTTCCGATGGGGACAAGCTGGGTCATTGACTTAGCCGGGTTGGTGGCAGATGGTGGGGATGTGCTTCCAATTGCCCTGTCTGTGTGATGCTGCTTCCCTGTTGCTTCCCAGCTGGGCACATGCCCCACCAAAGAAGACAAAGAAGCTTTTGCCATCGTCTCTGTGCCAGTGTCTGAGATCCGGGACCTGGACTTTGCTAATGATGCCAGCTCGATGCTGGCCAACGTGGTGGAGAAGATGAACGAAGGTTTTCTCAGCCAGAATGACCGGAGGTAAGAAGCCATTTCCCCTGGGAGATGGAGCCGTGCTGGGCTTCTCCAAGGGCTCTCCAGCATCACTGCAGGATGGGGCCCCTGCCTGGGTCTCGGTGCCAGCGCTGTCTTGCTTTCCTTTCCACAACCTGAATCCACGCCTGCTTCTCCCAGGAGCCTGGCGAGGAAGCCAGATAACGGCGCAGCCCCGCTCGGCCCCTCCTTTGCTGCTAGAAAAATATCCGAGGGGCTGGAGATGGCCCCACGATAGGGGCTCCGGGTTAGTCAGGGCACTATTTATAAGTGGGTGGGTTCTTGGTGCTTCCTGAGCAAACACAGATCCCTCGTGGGACAGAGCGAGCTGCTTCCGCCCTGCCAGCCCGCCCGTGTGGGTCCCACGGGGTGACTAAGGGGGCAGAGGCGTTACATGCAAAATCACTGGCATGATTCACAAGCTCAGGCCCTGGCGTTTGCCCTGGCTCGTATTAGTTTCCTTAGGAACCATAGGGGCTGTAAACCCTCTTGCTTCAGGGCACCATTAACCTCTACCAGGGAGGAGAGGACCAGCTCTTTGGTCCTCCAAAATGCACTGGCATTATTGCAGGGACCCAAGTCTGGGTGCAGACCCCTCAGCCCACTTGCCCCTTGTCCCTCTGCAGGTTCGTGATCCAGCTGCTGGAGGACTTGGTGTTTTTCGTCAGCGACGTCCCCAACAATGGCCAGAACGTGTTGGACATTGTGGTGACCAAACCCAACCGGGAGCGGCAGAAGCTGATGCGGGAGCAGAACATCCTGAAGCAGGTGAGTGGCCCTGAGGTCCTTCATCTGAGCAAGGTTGGGGTCCTGTGGAGATGCCCATGGCCACGATGGAGGCCAGGGGTGTGGAAGACTCCATGGAGGAGGTGTAGCTGGTCTCCAGCTCATGCCTTAGTGGTGTCCAGCTGTGCATGGGGGTGATGGTGTGGGGGGGGACACAACACTCATCATCTCTGCTTTTGGGCAGATCTTTGGGATTCTGAAAGCCCCTTTCAAGGACAAGGGTGGGGAAGGGCCCCTGGTGCGGCTGGAGGAGCTGTCGGACCAGAAGAACGCTCCCTACCAGTACATGTTCCGGCTGTGCTACCGCGTGCTCCGGCATTCCCAGGAGGACTATCGCAAGAACCAGGTATATGGGAGGTAATGGGGGGGGACCCTGGAAGCTGATGAGGTCTCGGTGGGCAGGGGGACTTTGCCAGGCTCCAACACTGAGCCCTGTGCGCTCACCACCTCTCTGCCCGCTCCAGGAGCACATTGCCAAGCAGTTTGGCATGATGCAGTCCCAGATTGGCTACGACATCCTCGCCGAGGACACCATCACGGCGCTGCTGCACAACAACCGCAAGCTGCTGGAGAAGCACATCACCAAGACAGAGGTGGAGACCTTTGTCAGCCTGGTGCGCAAGAACCGCGAGCCACGGTGCGTGTCCCAAAGGGCTTTTTGCACATGATGGGTGGGATGTGCTTTGACCAGAGGTGGAGAGAGTCCCCGGGGACCCCCTTTCACATCAAGCCTTCTGCTCTGCAGATTTTTGGACTACCTCTCTGACCTGTGTGTGTCCAACCACATTGCCATCCCCGTCACCCAGGAGCTGATCTGCAAGTGCGTGCTGGACTCGAAGAACAGCGACATCCTCATCAAAACGGAGTCAGTAGCCAACGGCAGAGGTTTCCCACGTTCACAGTCTGGTGCCTGGCCCTGCCTTCCACCAGTGCCCTGGTAGAACCCCGTCACCTCCCTGTCCACGGGAGCATCTCTAGTTTTACCTCTTTTCTGTCCCAGGCTGAGGCCAGTGAAGGAGATGTCCCAGACCCACGAGTACCTGAGCATCGAGTACTCGGAGGAGGAGGTCTGGCTCACCTGGACAGACAAGAACAATGACCACCACGAGAAAAGCATCCGGCAGCTGGCACAGGAGGCCCGGGCTGGCAATGCCCATGACGAGAACGTCCTCAGCTACTACAGGTGACAATCCTGTGGCATCTTCTCTCCACGTGAGGGTGCAAGGGCTGCGTGGCCTCATGCCCTCTCCCCCTCGTCCCTGCACAGGTACCAGCTGAAGCTCTTTGCCCGCATGTGCCTGGATCGCCAGTACCTGGCCATCAAGGAGATATCCCAGCAGCTGGGTGTGGACCTCATCTTCCTCTGCATGGCAGATGAGATGCTGCCCTTCGATCTCCGGGCATCCTTCTGCCACCTCATGTTGCACGTGCACGTGGACAGGGACCCCCAGGAGCTGGTGATGCCCGTGAAGTTTGCACGGCTCTGGACAGAGATCCCCACAGCCATCACGATCAAAGAGTGAGACACAAGTGGGGCTCACAGCGGTTTTGAGGGGCAGGGCAGATGCCATCCAGTGTAGGGACTGGCTTGGCTTTAGCAAGGACTGGAAGGAGGGCATTTGTGGAGTGGCTTTGGTAGGTCTCGGCCCTCGGGAGTGAGCTCCATCGCAGTCACGAGCATCACCTCTGGCTGTGATGGCTCAGCAGCTGCCTGGACAATGCTCCTTCCAGGCAGGCTGTGAGGATCTCGCTGCCACCCAGCTCATCGCCACCGTCTCCCTTCGCAGCTACGACTCCAACCTCAACGTCTCACGTGATGACAAGAAGAACAAGTTTGCCAGCACCATGGAGTTTGTGGAGGACTACCTCAACAACGTGGTGAGCGAGGCCGTGCCCTTCGCTAATGAGGAGAAGAACAAGCTCACCTTCGAGGTACAGTTCCTGCCAGTGTCAACGGCACGTTGCAGGATGCAACAGGGTTTGGCTGCGACTGCCTCTTGATGGGGTGGCTGCGCTGGCATCCCTCTCCCCGGGCTTGTGTCTTCTGCTCAGCCCCGAGCACGACGAGGGCTGGAGTTGCCTTGTCCTTCTACAGGTTGTCAGCCTTGCCCACAACCTCATCTACTTCGGCTTCTACAGCTTCAGTGAGCTGCTGCGCCTGACACGGACACTGCTGGGCATCATCGACTGTGTCCAAAACCCCCAGCTGATGATGCAGGCGGTCTACAACGATGAGGTGACGGGTGAGTCCCTGCTCCATAACCAGCCATGGTCCTGTAGGAAGGTGTTTTCCATGGTCTGCCCAGTGCTTTCCCGTTTTGGCTGCCGCGCTTTGCTG